ATAAACTGAATGCTTGGGTGGAAATATTTATTGATTCATTTTTTTATTATTAAAAACATACATTCCTTCCATAAATGTTTACTTTTCAATATAATATCTACCTAGATAATTAAAAAAAATTACCTACCATTTAATAAATAATAAGGATTATAAAATAAAACTAAAATTGTGTTTAAAATATATTTGTCTTATTTTTTAAATACTCTGAAGAATTTGAAATTTTAGACCATATTCAACTTATTTTTTCTTTTAAATTTTTAAATTATGTGCTTGCTCTTCAAATTTAAACATCAGGTTTTGGGTAAAGGGCTTAACAAGGTAGAGGGGACTTTTTTCTGAGGAAATTTACACTCTATTTTTTTTTTCAGAAATATTCTATTAAACATAAAAGGAAGAAACAAAGCAGAAACAGGCACAGTGTATGAAACCATATTTTATATTTTTGGTTCAAATTGTTTTTATCATTTGTAATATTTATTTGACCAATAATTAAAAATATCCTCTGAAACAATATTTTTTATTATTAAACTAAAATACATTGGGTAAAAAAATCTAGAACTGCTTTATTAAAATAACAGTTTTTAAAATTTGTGTACCTACATTTTCAATATAAATTATTTAAAAAACAAAGTGTATAAGGCATGCATAATTTTACCCTGATGAGCAGTTTAAGTGCAATAGACTCCAATATTAAAGAAAAAAACAGTGATATTTTAACAATATTTGCATTGTTCTATTTTTTACAAGGAGGTTTTAAAATAATTAGAGTAAATTTGTATTTTCCATATACATAGGTATTCTAATGAAACAGGTGTGTATACACATAATATGTGAAAATTAAATCCAAACAATGCGCTTTTGTTATTATATTAAATGGGTATTTCTCAGGATCTGAGCCAACGCAGGTGGTTTGTGTTTGCGGGTCAACCATGTGAAAAATGTATGGATTCCGTTCCGTTCATAATTCATACCTACACTCCTACCTGAGATTTCGTTGTTTTAACTGAACGAGTAAAAAGCGAAAAATCTGTTTCGACTTTATATTTATTTCCCATTATAAGTAAATATTTACATAATCTGACGATATTTATTGTTATTCCTCCAATATTTACCGAACGTTTAATCTTAAACAGGTGTAGAGTTGCTCCAAAATACCTGACTGAATCAGACAAACCATTGAGGAAGAGTATAATAAACTTAATGATTATAAATTATACCACTCTATAAGCTTCTATACTCATATTATAAGGAGGTAGGTATTTCTAAAATCCTGAACAGATGTTAATTGGACAGGTAAGTACTCGTATTTACGATTTTCTGTCGGTAGGTTGGTAATTAGTTTTAGTGATTTTTCGCGTTCGACTCGAAAATTAGAGTACAATTGTTAATTGTAAGGTAAATGAGGAAGTTGTTTGTTTTTAGTACACGCAGGTGGTTAAATAATTTTTTATAATTTATCAGCAGATAATGGAGACAATATTACCAAGATGACAAATATTAATTTTAAGTTTTAGCTTTACTTTATTTTTTACTTATTGTACTAATAATAATTTTGCAATACTTTTAAAGTCGATATATTATTAACTAGTTAGTAATATTACTTATAAGTTAAAAAGTAGGTTATTTACTTTGGTTAGTTTGGATATATTTTTTTAACCAACAAGTTAAATTTTACCAATTATATTTTAACTCGCTGGAAAATAACGTTAATTAACAAACTGGTTAAAAGTGATGGTTTTGCATCTATAGGTTTTATCACAGAACGTATGCGTTTTATTAATCCTTTTAGGTTAGTTATTTTAAAAATAACAAGTTAGTTTAATTTAACTAATTTTGGTAATTATTAACTACTTATAATGTGTTACATTAACCAAATTTAAACCAAAACCAAAAAATTATATTTTACCGATAGGTAGTTAAATTAAACACAATAATATATTATATATAACTATAGTTATTTACGTGTCAAGCTTTGTAAATTAATCTTTACGGGTGGAAGTTTATAATTCAGTGAGCCTAGTAAAGATTAATTGCAAAGCCTGACACCTACAAACTTTTATTTTCACCTTTAAATAAGGATTTTTAAATTTAAAATTTTAATTTATGTGTCCAATGTGTCATTTCATTTCATATTGCTTTTCTACAAGCCTGTAAAACTTTACAGGTCTTTTACTAACAAAATTCACCTATAATGTCATTTACTAAGAAGGTGGAAATAAAATAAATATATGATTTAAATAAACTTTGAAATTAATTTATGGGTGATTCTACAAAAGTTGGACAACTTGATGTCATCAGTCAATAGAGTATACCTATAGGTATTTTAATATTTCTTGTAAATATTTTAGTATATTACAAAAGATCCAGGTTTTTTTAACTTGTCCACCCAATTTTAATGTATTTTTTCAAAAGCACGTTTGTGAAAAAACATAATAAATATTCAAAACATCAGTACCTTGGCGTGTCACAACTCCTGAATCAAATATTTGAGTGATTTTATTTTATAATATATTCAATTTATCTTAAATTTTTCAATTTCACTACAAACTATAAAACATTAAATAATGTATTTTTCATATTTTATCATAGATTCGAATAAAAGCAATTTTTAAAAAATTGATAATCTTTGTACTCACTTTTACCCGTCAGTTCTGTGTCCAATGTTAAAATTCAAAATTCCTGCGAAATATTGAAGTTTAAACGTCAAGTCCTCGTTATAACTCAAGTGTTGGTAAAAAATTACCTACAGAGCCCGCCCTTTGCACGACAGTCATCTTGAAAACAATGAAAGCGGCGAAGTTGTGGTGAATGCACGTATACTTACAGTCAAAATGTCAGTACTGTGGTGAGCAGTTACTTTCTTACGTATGTATATTTCATTGTAATTTATATAAGGCTATATGTAATTTGTTGATAAGTAGCATCCACTAATAAAAAATTTCATTAAAATACTTAATTCCGAATTATAATCTCAAATTTGTATCCCATTCATCAGTACCGTGTCGTCAGTTCCATGTTCGATGTTTCGGTTATCTTTTTTTCGCAAACTTTAATTTAAATTCTGCTTGCGCAGAACTTGTTTATTTAATGCCATTATAAACTCATATAAATTTGGTGTGGGTCCCATATCTAATAATTGATATATCGGTATACTCAAAATCCACCAGCCGCCACTTATGTGTGGTATTATTTGATTTTAAGATATTTAATGTATAATATGTTCAAAGTTGCAATAAATCTTATATTTCCCAATAAATTATTTATTTAATTAGTACCCTGGTATACTTGTCACTTCTCTTGCATTCAAATTTAGAAAACACAGATATATCAGAAAATGTTTGAAAAAGTGACTGGCCCGGTCTGGAACAGTATATTTATTATATTATCTATGTTTTCATAACAAAATACTGTTTATTTTTTTCCGAAAACTATATAAACAAAATGAGATCAAAAGTTGCCCAACTTTTGTAGAATCAACCATATATATTTTTTTATAACCAATAAGTAAAGGATCCTTAAATCGCCATATTGTTTTCTGTCCATTCTAACAAAAGGAAATTGTATTAATTTGTTTTATTCCAAAAATAAGGTAATAAGGTAAATAATAAAACATATAAATATTTTACCTTTAAAATTATTTTAAATCAATTTTAATTAAAATATTTTTTTTTATTTTTATTTTCTTTATTTCTTATTTTATTCAAAGCCCATTTAATTCATCAGAAAAAAAATGTCCCATTGGTTTTTCCCTTAGAAGTATCTTTTAATAATTATCCACATACTTACATAATATATTATATATTAATTAAAATTTTTCATAGAAAAATGATTTTTGCAATAACACTTAAATTTCCATAAAAATTATAAAATTTTGTAAATTAACTATAAACTTGAAATAATAAATAGAATTGAAATAAAATTGCCTTTTAGAACCAGACAAACACTGTTTACAAAAAAATTAAACAAAAAGATTTTATTAAAATCTTATTTTATGTTATAATATTTTTTACAAAAAAAAAATAACTTTTTTCAATAAAAATAACTAAATTTTGCAAATTAACTATAAACTTGATATAAAGAATTAAAATAAAAATTGATATAAAGAATTAAAATAAAAATTGCTTTTCAAGTTTTTTTTTTAATTATTATTTTATGTCATAAAATTACATTAATTTTCTCAAAAAAATGATTTTTTGCAATAAAACTTAAATTTGCATAAAAATAATTAAATTTTGTAAATTGACTATTAACTAGGTATACTTAATATTGTATGAGTATTAATATTAAGGTGCGACATTTTATTTTAATAATGTGTAAGTTATGTATATATAAAGATATACATAACCATATTTAGTAAATTATAATTATATAGAGTTAAAATAATCTTAAGCCGATTAATTACAGTTTAAGTTGACTTAATTAAGAGTTAAAAAGTAGGTAGTTGAAAAGCTAAAATACACCAAAAACAACAAAACCTTCTTCTTATTAATTTAATACATCATCTATTTTTCTGTTATTATGCCTTTATGTCTACGAAATTTATTCCGTTTTTATTAGGTCCTTTTTGCAGAGAAAAAATTATTTATTTTTATATTACCCAACCGAAACTTAAAAACTATTTTACATTTGTGCACTTATTTTTAAACATAAAAAACTGGGCAACCCAACTTTGAAATAAACCACCTGTTGATTTTAATCCAAGTCGCTACTTTCAAAAAAATATTTTCCACAAAATTCTGCAACAAATCACCTCAAGTACTTGGATCGAATTCGCGGAAAAATATTGCACGAATTCCGTCGAAAAGGGAGCGGAAATGCAGAAACGGCGCCTCGATGATTGGCACGAAGATTAAACAGTGTTAAACCAGGCGCCTGCGACCTTACCTGCATCCGAGTCGGCCTCGGATTGGCCGAGGCCCGCCCCACTCGTCCTCACCCCACGCCATTGGCCGACGTCGCCCCTCTAGCCGTATAAAACGCGCCGCAACCGCGCCGACGTCATTCGACTCCGCAGTCTCGTAGTGTGCGCCCAGTTCAACCAGTGTCAGTGTTTACTCTTCAATTTAGCGAAAATGAAAGCCATCGTGAGTGCATTGTGCGCCGAAAACGCCCTAACCTCGGGTAGAGTGTCAAAACAGCGAAAGGATATCGAAAACGAGGAGATCCAGATGTACTTGAGCAAGCTCAAGGATTTAGTGCCGTTCATGCCGAAAAACAGGAAGTTATCCAAGTTGGAGGTGATCCAGTACGTGATAGACTACATCTGCGATCTTCAGAGCGCGCTGGAAACGCACCCGACAGTGAACTCCTTTGATGCCGCTTCAGCCCTCAACCAGAAAAAATCCCAGTCAGCGGCCAGCCCCAGGCAACCCCTTGGAGTGAGGCCGAACCCCAACACGATACTCTCCCCTTGCGAGGCCGCCATCCTCCAAAACATCACGGTAAGTCTGAAAACCACCAAAAACTACCAACGAACATTTGAATAAGAACAATGCGCGAACGGTGTCATCCGGGTCAGAGTTATCAAGCTTGCACCTGGATCTACGTCCGCGAATTTCAAACCGTCCCGTGCAGATGTTCCCTATGAACGAAGCACGTGTACATCACATCTGGCGCTTTGATATCGACAATAATGAGCCCACTTTATGCATCTCCCCAGATTCGTTTCATTTCGTCTTATCACCAGCATAAAGCCCAAGTGTTCTCGCACAACAACGGGGTCAGCTGTCTTAACTGAACACATGTCCGTCTGGCCGGGCTTGAATTTAAATAGGGGACGACAAACGCCAGTTGTGATTCGTGTCTAATAAATAAATTCCACGGAATCGCGGGTAGCCATGCGAGCAGCGTTTAGAAATTTGAAAGCAGAACAGTGTTGGTGTGGCGGGGGGAAGGGGCTATTGAACACGTGCGAAATTCTAACTTTAAAACCGTTAACGCGAATCGCCTTCAACACATGTTCGAGCAATTTTATTTATTGTCTTGTTTTTGTTGTTACAGAGTCCCGAAGCGATATCGCCGTCCGAAAGGCATGTTTCGTGTTGAACGGCTCAGTCCCACCAAAGTGATTTTAAATAAGTCATCATCCTCAACGAGGATTCCTCATTCCAATCTACGGACGTTTCAAGAAATCGCCTCATCTAGAACATAGGAATCGACTGATAAAACATTATTATTTATATCTTAGACGAGTGGTGAAGATGAAGAACGAGGAAGAATGGTGATGCGAGGAAGAAGAGAGAGCACTTAGTGATGTACCTGTTTATGTTGCAATTGTTGTTTAGATTTTTATCTTTATCTATTGTTTTGTAAATACGAATATAAAATAGGCGGGTTTTAACAATCTATGTAAATTTATTTTGGCATCGGACGAAAGTTCTTCGAGGATTTTTTGACGCTCTGCCATGATCACAGATTTTTTTCTTTAATAATTTAATTATTTGTGACTTTTTTATTCTGTGATTTTTAGTATATAATATATGTACAAAATATATCCTTCATTATTTAATCGCAACAGAAAATGAACCATTTGATGATTTGTTATTGTGATTTTTATTATGTACATTTTTGTTTTAGAAAACTTTTGTATATAGTTACCTATGTAGCAACTTAGTGTTGTTAAAAAAATTATTATTCTATGAAAGTATTGACTTGAATTAAAATATGATTTTATCCTATACACACTTGTTTTATTTTACTATCTAAAATTATTAAAAATAATAGGTAAGTAAACCGTAAAACAGTTTTCAAGCTTTGTAACTAGGTAAAACAATAGTTAATTAAATCTAAATTAAGTCATGACGTTTTAATTTAGGCGTATGACTACAATTTACTACGATTTCCAAAAACAACTATTTAGGTGGGTAACTAAATTATAATGTAATTTAAAGCAGTTTTTTACAACCAGGTCCATCAGGTGTTAGAAGAGAGGATATAAAAAATATATGTTTTCCAATTGGTGTTTAGAGGAAGCGCAAACATCCCAAAACAAGTTGCTACAGTTATTAGTGGCTGCTTTTTCACTTATACCATGGTCAATCATGGGACAATTAATAGCCAATTCTTATGTAAAATTGTCCGAAAATACCGTCAAAAATTATAAAAGTAGAGCAGTTTTTGAAATTTAGTCAATTCCATATTAAATGGAAAATTGACTATATCTCATGAGATACAGTCAATTTTCCATATAATATGGAATTGACTTTATTTGAAATACTGCTCTACTTTACAAAAAATGTTCTACTTTTATAAATTTTGCACGGAAATGTTCTAGATACAAAATGCTATTGACAAGAATTATTAGTGGCTCCTTTTTCGCTATGACAATTATTCATTTTTGACTAATTTATTTTTAAAGAGAGGATTTAAATTTGTTTAAAGAAAAACGAACAGAGCAACAAACGAGTAAATTTTGCATCGACTATCTAACTATCTAACCCCCTGATGTTTTTTGAGTAGAAATCATTATTATGATCATAATTATTAAATTCTTAATAATGTTTGGTAACAATATGTATATTATTTAAAATTATTTAAACTTATTATTTTTTACCAAGGAATATGTTAATAAAATATTGTTTTGTTTATAAATACAATTACTGATAATGAATAATTTAATAAAAAACTTAAACATCTAACAATAAAATATAACACTGGCGCATTCGCCAAAATTGCAAGTCCAAGAATAAACATTTCAAAATTCCTGCAAACAATTAATTTTAACGACAACAGCCCGATGAAAATTTCCGTATCCAAAGAATTATTCAGGCTATTTTTAAATAGACAAGATAATAATAAAATAATTTATTTCAAATCGCAGTAAAATATTGCGAACACCTGTTACAATATTAAAACAAAACAATGGTCGCGTCGCAGCAGGTGTATTTATTGCACTTGTTTTTATAGCAAATTATCTATTTCAAACGAAATATATTCGCACTCAATCTTTGGTACATATATTTTTAAGTGCCTATAGTACAATTTGTTAATAGGTACTTAAGTACTTAGCCGAAGCCAATTGGTGGATAAGTTTTTTGTAGGTGGGATCATAGAAAATAAAAAAAAGGTATAATATAAAAACAAAATAATATACAGGGTGGTTCAGATTATTTCATTAGTCTACAGAATCAGATTTTTTTTCGCTTCTCCTATTTTGTCATTTTATAACATTTGATTTAAAAAACAGACAATTTTGTTACCGACTTAATAATTAATACAAAAGGCACTATACACATATACAGGGTGTTATTTAAGTACGTGGCCAAACTTACGCCTCTGACTTTTTTGCAATTTTTATATTTTTTTAACATTAAGCAACCAAAAATACAACTTTTTTATCTCTAGCATATTTTTTGTATATTGCTTCGTTTTTGAGAAAAAAATAAAAATAACTTTATTGCATGTTCGTGGGACAACATAATACAAAATTAAAACTACCAAATTATCAAAAACTGGGGTGTATCTGTTATTTTTTTGTAAACCTTTTAGTTTTTTAAAAAGAATAAAAAAAACGTAAAAAATAGGATTTAAACGTTCTACCATTGCGAATTGTTGACAGTGACAATTCTATATGCAGTATTATTTAAAATCTAAAAATGTGTTGTGAAAACGAAGTTCACTACAATGAAAATTATTATAAAAAATGCATGGAAACAAAAAATAAAGTTTAGAGAGGAGCAGATAACAAAGAGAAGAAAACCATAGAAGGATTGTTTAATTATTTAAAAAAAAAATGTTTAATAAATAACTTAATACAACAATGCCTGTTTATTTCAAATATACCACATGCATTTAGGTAATTAAAAACTTCTCCAACATCTGGCCTTTAAATATTTGACTGGTCTCAACTTGAAGACTTATACATTGTATAATTCCTAGAGCATTTAAAATTACATCAAAAGAAAAAGTACCTAGGTACTTAATACAATTTAAAGGGATTGTCCTGAAAGTGGTCCGGCTTTTATAAAATTTATACACAGGGACGTAGCGAGGTGGTTTTACAACCCTCAACTTCAACCGGAGTCTTTCTTGTAATAAATAATAATAATAAATTTTAGCTGACAACTAAAAATCTTTAAAAAAATTAAAAATATGTTTGCACATTTAAGGAGGTAAATTTCGGGTGTAAAGGGAGTTGCTTTCATACTTATACGAGGTGTGTTCAGAAAATATCGGGAATTTTCGTTTTTTGAAACAAATATTTATTTATTCGTCTACATTAATGTTGTCGCCTTCAAAATAGTCCCCATTGGATATTATGCACATGTGCCAGGCTGGCACTGCCAGCTCTTCTTCCAATACTCGAAACACTTCTAAAACTCGATCTTTGGGATAGCCTTTAGTTCTTTCAGCGATGCGCTTTTAATGTCATCTATGCTTGCAAAGCGACGGCCCTTTAAGGTTCTCTTTATTTTTGGGAATAGGAAAAAGTCAGACAGAGGCATGTCTGGCTAATATGGAGGTTGGGGCATCATTACAGTATTGTTTTTGGCCAAAAATGTTGTTCAAAATTTAACACTTTTAGAACAAATTTTGCTGCCACGCGTTTTATACCCAAAATTTCATGGGATGAGCCAATCGATATACCAACATCATCAGCGACTTCTCTGATGGTTTATAACCATTTCTTCCACTTTTTATCGGTTGTTCATGTGCTTGTCCGTTCGGGGCGTTCGTCATCTTCAACGTCTTCACGGCCATCTTGGAAACTCTTATACCACTTGTAAACTCTTGTTTTACACTGAGAAAAAACAATGGTTATCTTAATCAAATATATAGTAACTTTTACTAAATATTCTGATTAGTATAGGCACAGCCAAATTTACTGTTATGTTAACCATGTTTATATTGTAACAGTTTTATTGTCACTTTAACTATATTTTTGTTGTTGCACAAAACAATAATTTATTTAGTTATAATAATCATATGCAAATACCTTATAACCCTCTATATGGTTAAATATACCATACGTATGATATGTATAAACTTTCTGTATAGTAAAAACTACAACGACATATTGTTAATAATGTGTGACAACATTATATTGTTATTGTAACCAGATAATCTTATAATTTTAACCATCTAGTGTAGTACTAACAGTTTAGCCGTATATGATGGTTGTAATAGCCTAATCAAATATCTAACTTTACTAAATTTTTATAACAAAATGATTAGAGTACATATAACAAAACTAATTTTACGTATATTGTTATTACAACCATAAGTTATAATTAAATGAACCATATTTTGGATAACAAATCTATATTGTTAGGGATTACAATATATTTTCTTAGAGTGTACTTATAGCAGACTCACTATAGGCCTTTGTTAACATTTCACAGAATTTATTTCATTTTTTAAGCAAAATTGGATACAAATTCTTTGATCCATTTCTTTTAACGAACGAAAAATCGCCGAGCTCGTAAAACACGTCTAACCTTAGCGGCTGCCACAGACAAAGTAAACAATGAAAACAGCTAAAGTTTTTATCATACTTCGGGGGCATGTATACCAACATAATAAAGAAAATTTTATGACAACCGGACCCTCCGAATCCGCAAATTTAACAATTCCCGTTATTTTCTGAACACACCTCGTATATGTATATATTAGAAGCATAAATGTTGACCAAATGGTGGATCGTCTATGACGGCCTTATGGTGCACATTTCTTTCTTACAAAAAACAGAAATCCCGCGCACCGAGCAGGCTGCGAAACATTTGGTTTGTTGATCGACACGATGCCGGGTTTCCTTTTGGAAATCAAACGGGTCTGGCAAAAGCCAAATGCCGAACAGAAACACGAAAAAGAAAGGCTGAAACGAAACACATCCCCGTTCAGTCGGATACATCGGCCGGCCGAAAATCTGTATACAGCATGTATACCCGGCTTATTTTAGCCCGAGTTATTTTCATTTCCCACAATCTGTCTAACAGATTTTCCTGTGCAATGAGCGTTTTGGTGTGGACGGCTCCTATAGCACATGGCTACGACACTCAAATTAGAAAACTGCACATGAACAAAAAATGTCAACTTCATATACGAAGTTTCGAGGAGAACATCTTTTTCAACAGATTTTATTACACAAAATAAATTGTATCAATTGCCTATCAAAATTTTCAAAAAATTTAACCACATATGCTCCTTTAAATATTAGGTCGATATAATAAATATTTTATAATAAAAATTACGCTGTTAACATAAATTTATTTCATTGCTTTAAATTTTTTAAGCACTGACTAATTTTAAGATAACAATTTGAAAAATTTAAAAATAAAAGGATGCACCTGTTTAAAGATTATTATTAAAACAGGTGTCTCCATTAAAAACAATGATAAATGTAATAAATAAGTTCATGTGTACTACTATTAGACAACCGGTGCACTAGATACCATAAAAATAGAAAATTTAAACTATGCTTATCAGTTCAAAATGTATAAAATATATTTATGGGTGATTCTACAAAAGTTGGACAACTTGATGTCATCAGTCAATAGAGTGGGTATTTTAACATTTTTTGTAAATATTTTAGTATATTACAAAAGATCCAGTACGTTTGTAGAAAAACATAATAAATATTCAAAACATCAGTACACCGTGTCACAACTCCTGAATCAAATATTTAAGTGGTTTCATTTTAAAATATATTCAATTTATCTTAAATTTTTCAATTTCACTACA